GGTTGTTTGGAAAGACTCCACAGACTCCTCCCCCCGACCAATCAGTGACCGACAGTGTTTCTGACGTCACGGCGCGGCTCGCTCGGAACCCTTGAGAAGCCGGGCCAGAATTTAGCGAGACGAGCCGGTTTCTGGAACAGTGGAAATACCTCCAACGCGCTTCAACCCGGAAATATCCGACCCGCGCCGTGACAGTGGAAAAGGGGCATAAGCCTGCTCGCTCCTCAGGTGAGCAGGGGCTCAGGTACCTCCCCCCCTGTGAAAGTTTCCACTGCTCCTCCGCAGAGAGAGAGTCCGCTTGACCTGCAGGCAAGCGGGGGCTCAGGCCCCCCCCCCCCCCCCCCCCACACACACACACTTTAAATTTCTCCCCAGCTCTTCTGAACACAAGTGGGAAGATTCGGGTAGAAGGAGGGGCTGATGATCAGCTGTTCTGGTCCTTCTTTGCCGTCTGCTCCTCCGGTGGCGGCGGCGTGAGCTGGGACCAGACCAGACCCGAACCAGAACTTTTCTTCCGGTTCAGCCTCCTCCTTGGGCGTCCATTCGAGGAACTCGTGTGGTGTCGAAGAGGAGAAGGAGCTGGGTTTATAAGCCAGGCGGCTCCCCCAGAGCTGAGACCTGTCATGTTCCTCCTCCTCCAGCAGAAGAGGTGACGGGAGGATCTCAATCTTTGGGCTGCAGTGCCTCCGTCTCTGGACGGGTTCGATCCGGAAACCACTCCAATGGATGACGGGTGCATCTTCCTCGGCACGCTTTAATTCTTCCTCCCACCAGGCTGTCTGAGCCAACTGCCCGCTGGGTTCCTTTCTTGGTCTGGGCATACTGTCAGGATTTGTGTTTTGCACAGAACCCAGTAGCGCAGGCAGGACTCAGGACCAGGGAGGAAATTAAAGCACTTTATAATACAAATTAATAAGCTGACGTGGCAGCAAAACACTAATAATGCCCCTTTTCCATTAGTACCTGTAGTAGCGGTACAGCACGGCTCTACTCTACTCGATACGGTACAGGTTGTATTTCCATTATGCTTTCAGTACCGGTTCCAGTGGGCGAGGTTCAAATTGACGTCACCACCTCTCACCAGCTGGTGGCGCTGAGACGCAGAAACCGTTTTCAGTACAGGTTGAGAATTTATGTTATTTTGAAGTTGTGTGTATGTATGCATGCATGTATGTGTGTATGTACATGTGTATAAATATATATATATATATATACATACACGCACACAAATATATATGTACACACATATGTGTATATATATGTGTGTATATATATGTGTGTGTGTGTATATATATATATATATATATATATATATATATATATACACACACCCATATGTATATATATATATATCATATATATATATATCATATATGATATATATATATATCACACATATGTATATACACACAATTATGTATATATATATATACATATATATATGTATATATATACACATATGTATTTATATACATATATG